GATGAATCCCTCAAACCAAAGAGTCGCAATTTCTTCCTAAAAAATTTGCATGCTTGCCAATTAATATTGCGAGACAAAGTGTAAATTCGTTTCAAATTACGCCAGCTTGTCGTCATGGTTACGAAACTTGTTTGAACAAAGTGGAAAAGACAATTTTGGAAATTTTAAAGAGTACCTAAATCTGTAAAACCATTTTCAGCTAATTCGTTGTCTAGTAACGCCATGTTATGAAAAGTATCGTTATGTCAAAAAATTATTATAAGGTTTTAATTTCTCATACACTTTGTATGTAAAGGTTACGTGGTCCTTAAATAAGAATTGTTTATTTACTTTCTACACATTCTTTTATTTGTTTCTCTATTAATTAAGTAACTACTCATTTGAGCATTGGAACAAGTGTCGAAGCATCAAAGCTAACAACTCTCTTGATCCTTTTCATATTATCTATCCATATACGGCGTCCGATTGATTGGTACAAATTAAAGTTGCTTCCACCAATGAGGCATTAACGATGACTCTCAATATTCTAATTTACATTCGTCACTAGCTTTGTAATGTTTTCCTATTAATAGTATTTTAAATTTTAATTTCCGAGAAAAAAAGAAGATAAAGTTGAGAATTTACTCCTCAACATATCTTATATTATGTATATTTACCTCGATTAGATCATAATCTTGATCTTTATATGGATTTGATCTTCTTCTAGCGCAATTTAAAAAATGTATATTGAACAAATATACTAAAATTGATATAATTTATCACTCCTTCGAAATAAACCTATTGCTCCAACAAGAGAGTGCAGAGACCATAATTAATATACACTAAAACCCGACTATTATATTTCGACCAACTTCTTTGGTTTTATTTTGGTACAAAAGATTTTTTTAATTGTAAGTATAAATTACAATCATAATGGTAGGCAGATCCTCTTTTATAATTTTGAAAAATTTTGAAAATTTTGTTATAGATATATTATTTTTTTAATAAAAAATTAGTTAGGCCACCACAAACTTAAATTTATTGTTTTCATATATATTATTATTTATTTTGAAAAAAATTATTATAAAATAAATTTGATATATTTTGAGAAAAAAATTATTATTTGAATTACTTCAACTCTCTTAAAATTAAAGTTCAAGATCTATCACTATTTATAATCAGATATTATACACACATATAATAATCACAGTGAATAATCAAATAAACAAAAAAAAAAAAAAACAATAAGCTAAAATATAGTTAGTCAAATTCAACATAGAGTTAAACCAAACTCACACTAAAGGCCATTTTGTTTATATATGAATTTGAACTCAAAAAATTTATGATAAAATCTTAATTGTACTTTAATCATTGACATATATTCTCGTAGTGAAAAAATTATTTTTAATTGATAAGATTGAATTTATATGTGTTATTATAATCTTAAAAATTATATCAATAATTTAAATATAAAAACTTTAAAAAACATAATTTTGATTAATAAATAAAATTATTCTATCCAAATACTTATGCCCATTAAATAAAAGATAAAATCTTATTATTATTATTATTTTATCTTATTATATCATAAATTTATGCACCAAATAAACATTAAAAAATTGAGTTATGACACCTTTGTGGCGAATGGTTATTAGGTGCTGCTGTCTAACTAGATTAATAACACAAAAAAAACTAGCAGATCTACAAGCTAATGAATAAAATATAACGAGCTAACCGAGCATTAGTCAAATAGCATGAGTTTTGAAATGACCTTTACAGGCTACAGGTTTGAGAATCAAGACGTAAAATGTCTTCATTAAACTAGATAAATTATGGTATGTTTGATAAGGAGATAGAGTCAAAAATACATTTTGAATTTAATACATAAAATGAAATAGCATAGATGCAGCTACAAGTGATTTGGTAGATTCAGCCCATTCTCCTACTAATTATTATTGTTTTAGCCCAATCTAAAGCTTTCGGGTTTGGACCGTATAAAATGTATCTAAATAAACGTTATATGCAAAAGCAAACCAGAATCTAGAACGAAACTTCTCTTTTTATTATTGTTAGTATTTATAATACAATGTCAGGTAATCTAAGGCCTGGGTTACCAATTCTTTCAATTCAGGGTGCTGCGAAACAACCGTGCAGCGTCCCCTCTTACTAGTTAATAATTGTCGAATCGCAGTCGCGACCCTGGCCTGTTCCATAGCCTCGCTATAATCACCATTCAAGGCAAGGTAGCATATAAGCACCAATCCATGCCGCTGCTGTGTCCTTGCACCATCTCTCAACAATTTCACCAATGGCTGTACAGCGTTGAACTCAATCATCCTCTTTGAATGCTCTCTGTGAAGATAATTATCTTTACAGGCAAACTTTTGTAAAGCAACCAAAGCTTCTGTTGTCACTTGTTGGCGCTCATTCCCAAGCTGTGACACCAAAACACTAATTACTTGATGATTTTCTCTTTTAAAAAATATTCTGGCTAAGGAACCAATCGATTTGATGGCAAGAACTTGCAGTGTAGGGTCCTCTGATTCTTTAACCACCCTCAAGAGCAGCTCAACAATAGCCTTTGCACCGGGAGAGTTGGTCTTAAATGCTTTGCATCTAAGATCAAGATTAGATTCAGCTGCAGCAGTAATTTCCATTATAGTCATCAAGCAACACTGTAATTCAACATGTTCCGCTTCCACCAATTTAGCCAAGCAAATCATTAATCCTTCTATCTCCTTTATCATCCTACTAAAGTTAAGTGGAAATGTTTCACTCCTCAGCATTTTCGCTAGCTCCCAAATCTTATTTTCCATGCAAGACCAGGCCGAAGAATCGTAGCAGAGGATATGAGGCGAGAGAAAGATTTCATTACAGGCAGTACCAAAATTGGGGTTGTAGATGATTAGAAGCCAGTTCGTGTTGACGATGCAAGCGTCTAAAAGGAGATAGAGCTTATCGAAACTGGTGGTTTTTGTTCCAGTGAAGAGTCGGCAAAAGATGGTTTTGCGTTTACACTTGCAGGCTAAGGATAAGGCCCCCTGAAGGATGCTGGAGACCTCTGAGATAACACAGTGAATTGGGTTCAAGTATAGCAACATCGGGTTTAAAGTGATGAAGCAGAGCAGTGTACAGAGCATTTGCATGAGCTGACAAACTTGCTTCCCCATCTCCATACATTTTACCCTGAACGATTTCGCCTGATCAGCCGCTTGATCGACTTGCTTCGCTAGGAATATCAGATTCCGCAGATGGTTCTCGATTAGCTTCTTCTTCTTGGATTCCATCGTAGCTCACTCCCTAAAAGTGCTTTCTTTTCTCTAGTTTTGCTGTGTAGGGCATACGGAACGCAATAAATAGAAGTAAAACACAAGGAAGTTTTCAATTGAAAGGCCACTGATGAGCTCAACGCGGTTAGCAGCAGAAGTTTCACAGCAAAGACGGCTAGCACTTTCGTTTAATCGCACGATATCGCTCGTATGCGAGTTTACTTTTTCGAATCGTTCTATGACACGGATAAAAGGATGTTTGGGATTATTTTTTACTTTAGAACACAAAGGTTTTTTTTAATTATTTAATTCTCAAAGTCGAGATAGAAGGATATATGATTGGGATTATCATAAAGTCATGTTTTTCAAAAGATTTTAAGATTAGTGTTTTAACAAACTTGATATACAAAAGACTTTTTTTTTTTTTCATGTCTTACACAAAATTGATTTCTTACGGCCTTTGTTTCTAGATAATTTCTTTACCAAGGGTTTTTCATTTATATATTTTTATTTGATATTTATTTATTATTATTTAAACTACCATTTCTCTTTTAGCCAAAAAAAAAATCTATTTCTCTAAATACACAGAATGGATTATACAATACGAATGAGGAGGTATAAGGTAATAGAAAGCAAAGATTCAAATCTTGGACCCCAATTTTTCTTTAAAAAATTTAAGAATTATAATATCAAGTTTGAGCTATTAACTGCTTTGGGGCATCTTCAAACCTCATAAAATTTTGGGCCAAACTACGGAGAAAGGAGATGGGAAATGGCCCAAACACTCTGGAAAAGGCTTAACTAGCCATATGTGCATATTACATTTTTACAGAAATTGATAAAACCGGATTTTCATCTTGCCTGAGCTTTTGTACAATTTCCATCACCGATCATAGTGCCAGTTCCGCGCAATTAGCTTTCGGAAAGTGCTGATCCTCTTGGTCTTGATTCTCTTGAATGAACGTAGTGACCGTAACAATCCCTTTTTACATATCATTACTATTGGTAATGTTCTCCGATCACCGTTGAGATTTACTGGCCTTGCTAGAGATACGATAATTAAGCCCTTTGAACAGTAAATTCAACTGACGTCGTAGAAAATCGACAACTACTTTATTCTGTTCTCTAATAAACTGTTTAATGCCTGGTGACCAGTCTAATTTGTTCATGCTTGTCCGTATGATTGGATGGGAGTTTGGATATTGCGTCAGAGACCAATTCTTCTAACTCAGGATGTTCTGCTACGACTTTTGCGATCTATCGTCTGAACTCTGAAGAGAAGTCAATGCCCCATCTTTTATCAACACATTGCTACAATTTGTACTTTACCACGCTTAGCAGAGGTGTTACTTTTCTGCTCCTATGTCAAAAGTCTGCCACATTCATTTCTAGGGAAAAAAAAAGATCAAATCATATTGCGATGCGAGAGGAGTATCTCACGAGTACGCGAGGTTTCTTTAATCTCTCTCTTCTTTTTTAGACCAAGACACTGATGAATGACGACAGATTTAATATTGAGCCAAGTGGGTCTTTTTCAATTTGTCAAAAGTAAGTGGGTATTTTTTAGTTCTCCGAACGTTATCGCGCGATTTTGTTTCCAACCAGCAAATAGTACTATTGATGACGAAATATCAAGCAACATATCATAGTATCTTTAGGCACGCACAAACAAGTGAACAAATATAAGTTGAAGTGTATTTGATATTGATTTGTATTGTATAACATATACAAGAGAATTGCTATTTACAATGCTTAACACTTGACAGGGCACAAGATAAAATTGGGTTCGTGGCTATGTTCTGGAGATGGATAGTCTTTATCCTTCTGATAGTCAACTGAGTAGTTACTTAATGAATAATAACCTTGTAATTGCTGGCATGCGCAAAAAAGACAGCAGATCAACAGAGCCCATCTATGCCGCTGCATCTTATTACCATCTCCAATCAATCTCATCAATGCCGGAAAAGAAATACACTCAATTACTGACTTCCAATGCTCAATATGAAGGTAATTTTCTGGACATAAAAACTTTTGCAAAGCAATGGCAGCTTCTGTTGCCACTGTTAGGTGCCTGTTGTGAAGTAATGACACTAAGGGACCAATTACTCCCGCAGTCTCACGTGATGGGAAAATCCTTGCCAATGAACCGATGGATCTGATGGCAGGAATTTGCTGTATAGGGTCATTTGATTCTTTAATCACCCTCAGGAGCTGATCAACAACAGCCTTTGCAGAAGGAGAATTAGTTTTAAATACAGCTTGTCTAAAATGAATATCAGATTCAGCAACAGTTGCTATCTCCATAATAGTCATCAAACAATAGTAACGTAATTTACCACTTTCCTTTTCCACCAAGTTAGCCAAGCAAAGCAATGCTTTTGTGTTTGTTATTGTCCTACAATTTGAAACGCTCCTAGCAGCAAGCGTCCACAAAGCCTCAGCACAATTGATTTTGAGTTCACGCTTTTCAGGTTCATCTGCAGATGTCTCAGATGATAATAATGCTACCAGCGGCCAAATCACATTCCCTTCGGCGGAATCACATTCGATTGCCGCATTTTCCTCTGCCATTCTGGCCACTAAATTTGCTGCCTGAATCTGAACCTCAATAGGCGCATCCTTCAATAAGCGAACTATAACAATCACTATATTCTTCATAATCTCTGGGTCATTAGTTAAAATACAGAGGGCATTAGCGGCTTCTAATTGTGCATAAAGGGAAGTGCTCACTTTCAAAATCTTTAATAAGGGAGGCAGACCCCCTTCTGCCACAATGTATTTCTTGTACAAGTTATTATCTTGAGCAAGCGAACCAAGACTATCTATGGCGTCTATGCGATCACTCAATCGGCGCCCCATTTGGACTGTGCCAATGCAACTCCAGACCAGTAAAAAAATGGGATTATTGTTGCAGAATGGAGGGAGGAAGACAACAATTCCGCCAAAGGCACCATTGTTTATGGGGTCATAGACTATAAGAAGCCACTTCATGTTACCGATCGAATCATCTAAATTACGGAAGACTGTTTGAAAATCGGTAGTCTTGGGGGTGTTGAAGAAACGACAAATAACGCTTTTGAGATTAAACTTGCAAGCGATGTCTAGAGCGTGCTTGAGGATTCCTTGAACCTCCTCAAGTATGCGGTCAACTGGGCGCAAGTAGAGGGATTTTTTAGCTGAAGTGGTGATAAAGCGGAGTAGGGTTTTCATCATAAAAGACAGCTGACCAACTCGCTTCTCTACCTCTAACCGTTCTTCCAGGAAAGACTTTAGCTCATCAATTGCTGAGAAAACACGCTTCGCTAAAGCTATTGAGTTCAACAACTTATCCTCAATCCATTTGTTCTCTGAATCTTCCATGGGCTGGCAGCTCAAATTTTGTGCTAATTGTTGTACAGTCTCAGTTTACATTAAAGTTAAACAAATTGCTATTGTTTATAACTGGAGGATTGCTTTCTCTTTGGAACTCACGTCTACACAAAATTTGTTGTTTTTGACAAACATCGCACGAAGGATTTCTAGAACTGAAGAAGACCGGCAAGTCTCGCTAGACACAACATGATTGGTCCAAAGTTTCGGAGTTACGCCTGTTGTAGATTATTAATTGCTTCTAAATTTATCTTCTAGATGTTGGATGCGGTCAACTGAAGGCCAAGATAACTTGTTAAATTTGCACAACTTAATTCGTGATGTCCATTCCATTCCGATGAATTATTAAATACTTTCTAGATCACAGCTGCTGCTGTAACTAAAATTCTCTAAATTATAACCTACTGGAAATTTAAACAACTTTGCACTAGTTTTTTCCGATTGAAAGGTATTTTAAAATCGTTATTATTTAATAGGGTAAGTTTTAAATTTATTTACCTAAACGAAGTTCTTAGACCATGTCATATTTTTTATTATTTTTTTCCTTTTACGTACAAAATACAAGAGATTACACGTTCTCTGCTTCCATGCTTTAACTGTCTTGCAATCAAGGACCAGTAGGAAGCATAATAGGAAAACTTTAGGTGGGTTCATAAACAAGGGATGAAGATGTATGAGCCAAAGTTGGCCCTGGAGATGATGCTTTGAGAGGTTCTTTAACAGGCCCACAATGCTTGGGAAAGTGTGTTGGCCTGGAGATGGAAATGGGGATTTTGTTTGAGGCTCGACTCTGTTACTAGAACATGGGATTGAGAAGGAGCTGCTTTGGTAACAACAGTGATCAGTTTTTGCCCCTTTCAGTAATGACCCTCTTGGCCACTAATGCAAAAAAAAAAAAAAAAAGGACCAGAATGAAAAAATTGAAACTCAGAACTTCCACTTGTCATTTCCTTTATAGGGTCCTTTCTATTGCACTAGAAGTAATGATCTTTATGTACCAACAAAACCGAGTCTGATCCTTTTTCATATTTGAAAACTGCCCAAACCAGAAACATAATCCATATACCAAAATCAAATCAAGAAGACAATTGAACGTAAAAATGGTTATGAAAACAACAAGGCCAAAATATTGACTCAAAGCAATAAGAAATAGAAAAACTAAGGTGTCATTGACTTGGAACCTTTGCTACCAACCCAGGCATTGTACATCTCTTTAGGCTGCAAAACCCAGCCATCTTTGCCACCAACAAAGAAGTTTCTGGAGACATGAGAGAAAGAAAGAAAACAAGCTAAAAAGACTAAAAAAAGGCAGAGAGATTTTTGAGATTGCAAATTGAGAGATTATAGACAAATATAATTTGTGTTATGGACATCAAACTAGATTTATGGAATACAGATATGTTGCATTATGAGAAATGTTCAGGAATAAAACATACATTAAGTTTTTAAAGTAAAGTTTATAAAGTTTTTTCTTAAAATAATTTAATAAAAAATTCAAATCAATAAATTAATGGAGTTCAACGTAAAAATCAATAATATATGAAAAAAAATATTAAAAATATTATTTAAAATTTAAATTTAATTAATATTTATTCAACAATAAAAATTATGTTAATATTTTTACTAAAAATATATGTCTAAGAATATATATAAAAAAATTTTCAAATTTTTTTAAATTTTGTATACTCAATTTATGTAATAAGATCTTTTAATTTATCAGTTTTAAATTTTTATTTTAATTTTATTTAAATATTTTTAGTAAAAAATTTCAAGAATTTCATCTTAAAAAATTTTATATACATCTTTTCCTTCATTTAAGTAAATAAATTTAAAACTATCCCTATTAAAAAAAAAAGATATAGAATACCCTTCTATGAGAAAAAACTCAACTTTGCACATCAAAATATGAAGAATTAATATTTGATAAATTATAAGTGATAAATTTTTAATTTCATAATCCATATTAAAAAATTTTCACTTTATTAAATTCGTTTGTAAAGTCGAAAATCTCTTTATTAATATGAATATCCTTTGGTTCAGTCAACCTTGTTATTGACTTTGGATTAATAAAAAACGCGAGTCACAATCAGAATGTCGCGCAAAATCGCGCTCACTGCTGCTTACTGATGAATCATTTTCAGCATTTCTCTGCTGCTTTATAATTAGACTTCCGATTCTGGTGAATATTAAATGGAAATCGCGCGTTCGAGCTGGACAATCTAGCGTACTCAGCAGATATCTTTGCGGGCAATAGTACCTACGAGTTTGGACAAATTAGAGAAGAAACTTCATGGAAAACTTTAACTCGCGCTAAACACACCTGGGAATCGACTGTTAACCGCACTATCTATCAAGTATTGAGACGCCTTTTGTCTATATATCGCCAGATTCGGCACTATTTCTAGAATATCTATATTGGATGCGTGATTGAGTAGAAAGCATGTGTGGAGCATTTTCTTCTCCTTATTTAAGCTCCATCGGTTCTCTAGCTAAGACAGAGAAAACTTCAGCAATGGAAATCGTATCAAAGCGTCTTAAGAAGACTGATATTGAGAAACGAATGACGATCCCAAGCAAGTCCCTAAAGTGTTTCCCTCCTTTAAGTGGCAAGCATATGGTGGATTTTCAAGTTAAAGACGCTGGTGGCCGTGACTGGAGGTTTAGAATTTACACTCGGAAAAAGAATAGCAAGTACCTGAAGCCAGTGCTTACTAAGGGATGGAGAGAGTTTGTTTGCAGTAAAGAGCTTGGTGTTGGTGATAGAGTTAGGTTTTACATGGAGAATGAACAAGTTGGTGGTGTCACGTATCGTGTCATGGTGGAAAAAGCAGTTAAAATATTTGGTGCCGTTTTAGCTCATAAACAAATTCACTGCTAGCAATATTTAGTATTTACATCCCAACTCCCAAGACCTTTACTCATGGGAGTATCTGCTTTTGTAATATAACAATTTCAACTGTTGTAGGATTTCTAGCAACTCTGGTTAAATATGCTTTGTAAATATACTGAATTGTTGATTAGCAATGTATCAAGTATCAAGTTCTTGTTTGATCGGCTACTGGTTTTATCTGTTTGAAGCATTTCATAATTTATGATAGCATTTTGTTTCACTACCCTTTTTTCATGGGAATCATCATTCTAAAACGCATTTAACACTATATACATCATTTTCCTCCAAATCTCACTGAGTTCATATTCAGGGGACCTATAAAACAGAGTGAAAACAGAACAGAAACAGAACCCTTGGTATACATTCTCTAATTGGGCTTCTCGTCAAATTACTTGCAATAATTTGTCAAGTTGCTAATCAAAATCGATTACTGGAAGATAGTCATCAGATTATTTCAGGGCTAGTATTTGTTGTGGACTATTTATGTATTAATCAAAAGCTAATTGTCTTTAAAGGCCCCACATTTTTACTGCAGAAGAGAATAGAAACAGAGCTAAAAGCATTGATTCTCCAATTTTATGAACGTTAGCTCGTCAGTATATAGAGAATTATATCTTGGAATTTAGAAGAAATTAGTGAAAATAAAATGAAGATGAAGGAGAACATGAAGAAAGGAGGATTACACTTTGTAACATTAGCCAATAATTCGAGGTGCACAAGATATAGGCAATTTCATCATTTACATAAGCTGCAGTGTTGTACCTGACAAAGTGACAAAGTTCTAGTTAATGAAAGATAAATTATAAATATATTTGTGACGATGTGAAAGAATTAGAGAAACCCACGTCAAATGCTACAATTTAATGGACCACCAACTTTAAATTTTATTGGAGTTGCTATAAACAAAGTGGGTGTTTTGACTTTGGAAGAAAACCAAAGGGACAAGAAAAAAAAGAAAACCGCGCGCGTTAACTGATAATCGAGCAGCATCGCTGCATAAATCCAATGCCTTATCTTTTCATGATAATTATTTATACTTTAAACGGCTTGGAGATTTGGGTTTGCAGACGATCGAAAGAAAAAACCATCCGACTGAGCAGAAAGTCGAGCGATCTCGCATTCATTGGTAGATTTCTTTATTTCTATGTATCTAATTGGATGCAAAAGATGAACAATTAAGCCATCCAAATTATACAATAGAGGGATATTTGATTACGTCTATCATTTTTCATTTCCATAGAACATATCACTATCAATGCACGGGCATTGGCACTTTGAATTTTGAAGAAGAAAAGAACCAGGGCCTGGAGCCACATCTGCAGAGCATCGAGCGATACTAAATTATCTACAACGCGAGAGAGTTGCTATCTCTTATTCTCTATTTAATGCTGTCGGCTTTTGGTGTCTGCATTTCGGATGAGAGGACAATAAAAATTGTGCCTTCAGAAGAAAATTAATCTGATGCGTGATATTACAATACCAACCATTGTCACATTTTTTCCTCTTTATATAGCCATTTTCATTGTTTCTCTGGCTAACAAGGAAACTTTCAAGCTAGCACTTTCAAGCTAGCTCTTCAGCTCATTTTGCCTTAGTAATGGCAATAGTATTCTCGAAGATTCTTACCAAGACAGATATCGAAAAGAGATTGTCTGTTCCGACCGTGAAGAAAAAATGTTTCCTGAATTTCAGAGCCGGCCAGCATGAGGCAGAGTTTGAGGTCATAGACGAGAATGGCAAAGTCTGGATATTTGTTTGTACTGCGAGGAAGAAGGGAAACTATCCAAAGCCAGAGATCAGTAAGGGATGGCTTCAGTTCCGACGCTGGTGGAATCTTGCACGTGGAGATAAAGTGATACTTTATTGGAAGCAGGATAAGGCTAAGGGGCACTATAGAATGGAAGTGATAAAGAAAGCAACCCGGCAACAATCCTGGGTTCTTTCGCCTCTAGTTCAGAACCATGATGCTGATGAAACCACGGGCGTCACAAGCTACAATTATGTTGAACACGAGCCAAACTTAACCTCCCACAGCTCTGATCAAGCTATAACCAATGACCCGACTGAAGGGTTTCATAATCAACCCGCTGCGGATACGGTT